GTCACACCACCCGCCCCCCACCCCCTCCCTACAACCCGGGGGCAGAAGGGGGGAAGCCTCCCAGGAGGTGACGAGATGGTGCAGCCCTCTGGGAGCCCACAGGGGACAGACAGGTGGCCTCTACTCGGCTTTGAAGGGAGAGGACATCTGGAAAGGAAGCCACGCAGAGGTGGAGGTGCAGACCTGGCCCCCGAGCCCTGGCCCCTGTGTTCACAGGCTGTCTGCCCTCAGCCACGCAGCCCAGACACTCTGCGCCCCAGGTCCTCATCTGTCCGATCTGGTGGTTGTGGGCAGGGTGGTCTGGAAAAGGGAGAGACCAGAAGCCACTGCAGTATGACAGCCACGAGTGGACTGAAGTGTTCCCCCGTCACTGCGGGCGGTGCGGGGCGGGGGGTAAAGTCTTGATTCTGGGTTTTTGAGTGTTCTTTCTAACTCCTCCTCCAGATAAGTCATTGGGTCATGGGTTCCCTTTCTTGTCTAAGCCCGTTTGAGTCTGTGGCACTCGCAGCTTGATGTGTACACACGAGGGGAGGACGGGGACAGAGGAGAGCAGCTCCGGGAGAACGCGGGCTTCCCCCGCAGGTCCTGAAGGAAGGAGGCCGGGAGGACGGGAGATTCGAAGGAAGGGGGCGGGGAACGCCCAGAGGAGGTTTCCACTGCAACCCAGAGCCCCGAGGAGGGTGGTGCCTGGAGCAAACGGGATGTTGCAGGCGGATCGTTTGTTAGATAATCAAGCTTTCTTCTTAACATACGTAAGTGCATTTATTTTTTGAGTTTTGGATTCTTTACTCTTGATAATGTAGCACATATTTTAGGAGAGCTGACTTTGGCAGGCGAGCACTGTCCCAGCGTAGACATCCGCTGTGCCACAGAAGGGAAACGAGCCCGGGCCCCAGCGCCCCCCGCGCCTGGGACGTCACGCCCGCAGGTCGGGAGGTGCAGAGAAATGCAGCTTCTACCTCTTCAAGGCCTGGCCCCGAGTATTTGTAGTAATTCACTCAAAACCTAAACCCCGCGTGTTATTTGGCGGGACCCTGGCACGGCTTTGGGGCAGACAGAGGCACACAGCTACACGAGGTTTACGAGCTGCGGGAGGGGCCGCCAGCGGAGGGTTCCAGACAGAAAAGGACACATAAACCCCAGCAAGCCCGGGCACGTGGCCCTTCGAGGTGGCCAGGACGGTTCCACACCCCGACTCGCGCTAGGCTCTCCCAGGGAACTTGAAAGGAAGCCGCCGCGGCCAGCCCTCTTCCCGCGGCTCCGACGTGCTGGGGGAGGGGGCAGACGCTCTGTCGACGAGCTGGCTGGGTGCTTCTGGCCCGGGTGTCCTTCGGTTCGGGGGCACGACTGAGCGCGCTGCAGGGCTGATGAAAGTTAACCTCAGAGCAGGAAACCACAGACTGCCCTCAGAAGTCAGAAGAAGAAACGCGATCAAAAGCTCATCGCAGATGAGTGGCGGGAGTTGCTGTTTACAGAGTGACTTCAGAACTGGTCACACCCGTGAATCTTACTTTTCATTTGCAGCAGCGCCTCAAGTCCAAGGCGAGCCCTTCCTCCCTCTGATCCCTGCCCGCAGAGCGCCTGTGTGCGGGCCCGGGCCAGGCAGGCGACGGTCCATCCCCACACTGACCCAGTTCCCAGTGTGAGAGTCTGGGCCTCTCCCGGGGAGGCCTCGGAGCCCAGGGACATCAGAGAACGTCTGTTCCTAACATCCACCTCCCATTGAAGAACAAACCTGGATGTTTTCAAAGTCAGGTCTATCCTTGATGTCACGCAGGTTTCATCGAGGATGGCACAGAGCAGGAGAGGTCCTCGGAGCCTCCCTTCATGCGATGCCCAAAAAGAGGGCTTGCCAGAGCGAGGCTCCTGCGGGGGCGAGTCAGCGGGGCAGAGGGTGGCGCTGTGGGACGGACGGGAAGAGCCGGGCCGCGCTCCCCCGAGGGGAGCCAGGCCTGCCCCAGGGCTGCTCTGGGCGTCAGCCGTGGGAGTCTTGCATCACTGCTTTCCCATCAGGTGTACCCCAGACCTGGTCACAAAGCCAGGAGGAAAGACGCAATTAAACAACGCGAGGACAGGACTATTCCTGGAGAGGCGCTCAGACACTGAGCTGCAAGGATGCTCAGGAAATAGGACCAGACTGCCGTCCCTGGAACTGCACGCCTGCCCCCGAGCCCCTCAGGTCCCCGACTGCTCTGCCCCAGACGCACACGAGGCTGTCACCTGCCGAAGGTGTGCTTTGATTTTGCCCAAACTGTTTACGCAGCTAAAACGTTCCACCAAGAATAAATAAGAGCATTTCACTCTGCCTGGTCTGAATACGTGAGTGGTGTGTTGGGTGACGGAAGCTCTTAGCGACTGATCCACAGATTCAACATAATTCCAATCAGAATCTCAGACGGCTTCGATGGTGGGGTGGGGCGGAGGGGTGGCTACCGAAATGAATAAGCTGATTCTAAAATACATTCGGGAATGCAAACTATTTCTTAAAAGAAAAAGCTGGAGGCATTTCACTGTCTGACTTCAAGACACTGAGTCACTATATAAGTCACAGATTTAGCACACAAAAAGGGGAATGAGGGTAAATTCAGAGACATATCTGGCAAATGGGAATGAGATATTTATATCTGTCCTTTTTCTGGTCAGATTTATTGAGATACACTTCACGTACAATAGCTGTTCCCCGATTTAAAATATGCAAATAAACCAGCTGTGATACATGTGCCATGTAACCAGCATCACAACTGTGACACAGAGTATTTCCATGACCCCAGATAACAGCCTCGCATCCTTTGCAGCCAGTCCTCCGCCTGGTCCCAGGAAACCACTGCTCTGCTTCCTGTCTCTGAGGCTGGGCCCTTCCTCGGATGTGACAGCGTGTGACCTGGGAGCACAGAACCTCCCTGGTCCGGCTCCCTTCACTGAGTGCACGCACTTGACATCCACCCACGTCGTTCCAGGCGTCAGAGTTTGTTCCTGTCACTGCGGAGGGTCACCTGCTCAGCCATGCACCTGCCGATGGACCCCTGGGTGGCTTCCAACCCAGGGCTATTACCCTAAAGACGCCATCATCATTCAAGCAGTCGTCTTCGTGTGCAAATATGTTTATTTCCTTCTTCGGGGTGGATACCTGGAAGTGACATTGCTGTGTCCCACTCAGCGTTTCAACGTTAAGAGGAGCTGCCAAACCGCGTCTCAAGGTAGCGAGCGGTTTCCTCCCACAACCACAGGGAGGGAGCCCAGCTGCTCCACGTCCTCCCAGCACTGGGGATGTTCAGGCTCTTGTACTTCAGCCACTCTAAAAGGTAGTTGACGGTACCCATGGTGGTTTTGATCCGCATTTCCCGAAGATCTCGTGATGACGGACATCCTTCCACAGGCGGGTTTCCCTCCACACCTGTTCTCTGGCGAAACGTCTGTTCAGACATTTCACCGACTTGTACGCTGGGTTTTTTGTTTCCTTATTAGTGACTTGCAGGGGTTCTTTTTATGCTCCAGCTTCAGGTTCTCCACGGATACAGGTTATCGAAACGTTTTCACTCCGTCTGTAACTTGTCTTATTTTCTTAGCAGGATGTTTAAAATAGCAAATGTTTTTTTCATTTCGATGAAGCCCAGTTTGTCATGTTTCCGTGTGTTTCGTGCTCTTTGTGTTCCACCTGAAACACCCCTGCCCAGCGCAAGGCCACAGACACATTTTCTAGGTTGTCTTCCACAACTGCGCATCTTGACGTCGACGATCCATCGTGAGTTAGTTTTTGTATGAAATGTGAAGTGAGATGCGTGTGTTTTGTTTGTTTTTGAGCACTGCTGGCTCAGGAGATTATCAGTTACCCCCTGAATGATCCTGATTCGCGTGGCAAAGAAACAGACACCCATGTGAAGTCAGTCTGGACCCCAGATCTGGCCCACGTCCATCTTTACGCCAGTGCCAGATGGCCTTGATTCTTTTTAGATTTATAACATTTTAAAGTCAGACAGTAACATGCTGCCAACTCTGGTTTTCTTTACAGACGCTGTTTGCGTTCTCGCCTCCATCTCGGAACCGGCTTGCTCACTCCTCTTCCTGCCCCCCTCACCCCCGCGAGAGAAGAGCCCTCAGATTCTGATCAGAATTCACCGAATTTATTAGCTGATTGGCAGAGAACTGGCGACAGAAGATCACGGTGACTTTCCACTGGCAGGTGTCCCCAAGTTCCCCTCAAACAGATGTGGTTGTTCTCAGCACTGGAAGGGGCAGAGCAGGACGGGATGAGGGAAGACGTGTCTGACCCCCAGCCCCCTGCAGGCCAAAAACGAAGGAAGACTCTGGCTCTGGGACAGCGGTGCCGCTGGCAGAGACACCGGGAAATGCGGCCCTGGCTTTGGAGCTGGGGATGGGTGGAGGCCGGGGAGAGGCTGAGGAGCGTGAGAGCAAAGCCCAGATTGCTCTGAGCAGGCTGTCGACAGGAACACGGCGGTGAAGACGGCAGGGAGGCCCCGGAGGTCCGGGCCTGGCAGACAAGGCCTCCACCGTCCTTGAGAGCACACGTCTCACGCCAGCAGAGGGCTGGCGAGGCGCGGGGCTAAAGGCGCTGACGAGGGCTCAGCAGGCCTGGAAGCCGGAGCTGATCCCGGCTGAGCAGAGGCGGGACGCTCGGCCGCCGGGCCTCCTGCCGGCTGTGCGGAGAGCGGGAATCGCAGCCGTGATCGCGACAGGCAGCTGCGACGCCATGTGCCCGGGCACAGCCTGACTCCTTCCTGCTGTGTGCAGTGAAACGCGAGAGGAGAGAGAAAAACTGCGGGGAGAATTCTTAAGCAAAAAGGAGACAGTAGTTGATTTGTGAAAATTTCGCTCCATCTCGACTGAAAAAGCTCCGGGGAGCAGGCTGGGTCTGGACAACCTCTGCTGAGAGTTTCCCGTGACCCGTCTCTCATGTGAGCACACCGTCCACGAAGGACCTCGCGGCCAAATCCTGCGGACGCTGGACTCTTCGCAATCACGTCTTCACCTGCATTCCAGCCTCCCCTCCCTACAGGTAAGATTTATCAAGACGCACAGTCACCGAACGTGCACAGCGTCTGACACCTTCCCACAGAGAGCAGATCCCTGCACCCCAGCTCCTCGAGTCCCCCAGCCAGACACCGAGCTCGGCCACGTGTCTTCCCGACACACCCATGAGCCCCGGACACGCGCTCTCCCGCAACAACGGGCCGTCAGCTCGGCCCGTTCAGCCGCAGGCGTGCTCCTAGTGGTCTCTGCACACACGCCACCGACCACCTGGCAGGCCCCAGGTGGCTCCCAGGCAGACCTTTCCGGCCACGAATGAGCAAAAGAAGGTTTACCCGTACAGTCTTCTGTTCCAGTGAGAATTTCTGGATTTTCAAAGCATCTATATAAATTCAAAAGGGTCATGCTAGTTATCCCATTCCTTGTAAATTTGGATTATTAAAGCATTTTAATTAGGCTTCTGAGAAAGAAAAGATACTTTAATAAAACCTTCAAAATGTCAACTTTATAATTAGGGGATATATTCATGTTTAAAATTATTTTGTTTAGCATTTACAGCCAGCGATGACTTACATGAAGAAATAAAATTAACAGGTCCTTTAAAATAAACTAGACAGATCAAGAAAGGTCGAAGAAATTAAGTTAATGATGCTTTGTATCATTGGCTAAATTTAATTTTGCGTTTAAAAATACAGCATTTAAAATTAGCTGTTTCGTTAAAGACGTTCTGAGGAAAAGAATTACTGAAATAATCATTACAAAGTAGTGATAAATCTGGTAACAAAGACAATAAGCATCATTATGTCAGGATTAACACTTGCCAAGTGCCTCACATATGTTACCCCTAGTTCACAGGCAGCCAGGTAGGTCACCACGATTATCCTCATTTAAAAAACAATAAAAGGTGGGGAGAGAATAGCGTTTTTTGGAAACTGAGAGGCCACACTGGAGACAGGAGCAAAGTTGGGAGTCACAGGCTTCTGGCATTTATTAGTACTGTTAACTAAAAATCAAAAGCATATGTTCACGTATAACGGAAAAAGTGTGCTCTACACTGGAATTTGACACATTGTAAAATGACTATAACTCAATAAAAAACGTTAAAAAAAAATCAAAAGCATTCTACATATCTGAGCTTAACAAACATCCCCTAGACTGTGATCGGCAGGGAAGAGTCTCCTGCAGTCACATCTCCGCGGACTTTCACTTGGGGCAAGTCATTTAAATTAACATTGAATTTGGTTTTATCATCTGTAAAATGACACGTTAGACCGAATGTTCTGGGAGCTCCATATCAGTGACGCCATCTGTGAGCTGGCTTCATGAATTAACAATCATCACCACCACCCATTACTCGCCGTAAAACACCAGGATCGTGTCAAGCGGTAAGCTAGTCCTTTGCACGCAACGTCGCAGTCCTCACAGCACAAGTGTCCTCACTTCAGAGACGCGGACACAGAGCCCGGAGGCCACCGTGCGGGCAGGCCCACGGCTCCCGGAGGCCGAGCTGGGATTCCAGCCGAGCCCGTCTTCCTGCGCCGACAACCGCCCCACCACACACTCTGGCTTTTACCACCTTCCACCTGACGTCAGAATATTCAACCCGTCAAGCTGCGTCACAGGGTTTAAATGGGCTGTTCAGCTCTTCCAAAATGGCACTGTCAGGGCACTCTGTGAACCACCACGCCAGGGACTCAGCAGGGACGTTTCTATTACTTACGGCTCCTCCAGGGAGACGGGTCCGTTGTCCTTTCAATGTCTGCTCGTCCGGTGTATGAATCTCACTCTTGCACGGGCACCTGGGAAACATATCAACATTTATTAAATTGTAAATTAGCATGGATGCCACATATCTAAGATCGGGACCTTTTACACTGCACTGCGGACCCACAGAGCTCTGGGATGTTAGCAGGTTCCCTAAAAGTCTAGGGAAACTTTGATCTCGTATAAATAGATCAATTGTCTGGTAGGAGAGCTCCAAGGGTCGCCTCAGATTCTCAAAGGGACCCTTGATCCAAAAACTTAAGAATCACTACCTTAGCTTCTAAAAGTTAGTGCGGTTGTGAAAAAATTCTGACTAATGAGGTCATACGTACCCAGGGGCAACTTCTATAAGAAAAAGAAAAGATGATGACAACAGTTTGTTAAAATCCATCCTCTCATCCTGAATACACTGCACTGGGCGTTACACCTGCAAAGCGAACGAACACCACAGGGCTCGTGTGAGGGAGGAAGGCAGGGACAGGCCCACAGGCGGAGCTCGCTCTCCCTCTGCAGGAGAGCAGACTGTGACTCGGTTTACAGACACAGCCACGTGACCGGTCTGACCGACAGCTGATACAATCACATGACAAATCAATAACCTGTAAGCACTTTCTGGGCCCTTTTCCCTTCAACTAGAGGGCGGCAAAGCCTCTTCCTCTCTCAGCTCTCTGTCTCTGTGCCTGTCTCGGGTGCGAAACCTGGGTTTTTCTACGTTTCCCGGGCAGGGCTGGCGGGGCTGCTGGGGGGCAGAGCTGAGGTGATCAGAACTTTGGAACCTTCCCTTGAGTTCCTTGGGAACGTGTCTCTGCGTGGGCGCCAGCCCAGTTCCTGGGAGCGCATCAGATCACCCGGCGGCTCATAAAAGCAACCCCCACGAGCCCACGCCAAACTCCGCTCAGCCCAGATCTCCCGCGGGAGCTCCGGGAAGCCATCTGCTAGACCAGAGCCCCAGGGGATCCTGACTCAGTCCGCCTGCAGGTGACTTAGAAACCCTCACAACCACACGAATCACAATTCACGTGAAAACGGAGACGGGGCTGCTTCCCCAGCCTTGTCTGCGGAGCCCTGGGCGTCCTGGTCCACTGTCTCTGCCCGCAGGTTGGAGCCCCAACAGGCTCCTCAGAGCAGCTGTGACTGCTGGGGACTGCTGCCTAACTAGAGGTTCTTCCACAGCATCACTTGGCATCATGGAAGACCTCGCTTTGACCCAAAGTCTCAAAAACATAGCTGCATGTTAGGACGGCAGGAAAAAGAGTTCCAGAAATGCGTTCCTTCCACAGGCTCAGCGCCCCTTACAACGCGGACGGGGAGCCACGCCAGAAAAAGAACCACGGACCTGAGTGCGGAATGACGGTCCTCTGTAAATACGACCAAATACGCTGTTCAGCTTATCTCAAACCTGCACACAGATGCAACCTCTTCTGCCCAATGGATATTGTTTTACTTGTTCAGTTCTTGCAAGTGGTGAGATCATTACCGCTTCGTAGAAGCGAAGATGTTTCTCAACACACACATTTGACTCTGGAGTTTATCATTAGATTAAGTCTAACCGGTTTAACAGCGGTGCGCACAGGAGCGCGGTCCTTCACGGCCAGCCTACGCAGCCAAAGGAAAGGAACATTTTGCTTTTTTCAATGTATCTCAGGTCTCAAAACCAGCTAACCTTAGATGAACCACAGTTCCCGAAAATACCTGCAAACAATTGTACTTTATTTTGTGAATCCGAAAGCAAAATTTGTCCTAAGACATTTCAATTTATTTTTGCCCAAGGGAATCAGTGATATATTTTGGACCAAAATATGTTAGAATTTCAGAAGAGTTCAGAAATGCTTTTGTTTTAGAGAAAAGAAAAAAATCTGTGCTCCCTTTGTGTCTGGTGGGGCAAAACCGCAGCTCTGTGGTGTATTTAGTCTAATAAAAATTAGCTTCCTGAACATAAACGCGCTATAACTGCATCGTGGGAAAATCTGAAATCCTTGGGAAAGGCCACAACATAAATAATTAATTGTCACACGTGGCACTGAAAAAGCTGAGACACTCAATGGCGTTATCACCCTCTCAATAAATAATGAACTCAGCATAACTAAGACTGAATCAGTCACATACCAAGCATTTACTGAGCACCTATGTTCTCTTGTTTGCTCAGTAAATGTTTAATGAGCAGCTACTGTGTTCCAGATGCTGGGATCCGTGGTAAATGAGAGGCGATGCCTTCACAGAATCCACGGGGAAAACAGAGAGAAAAACATTAAGTTCTGTGGAGACTGTAATAAATGAAACAGGCTCTGTGATAGGAAAAAAGAGAGAGAGGAGGGTCCCTAAGGGAGAGGACATTAAGATGAGACAAGAAGAGGAAAGAATCACCGAGGAAAGACCAAAAAGCCGCCTGCGTGAAGGCCCGCGGGGACGGACAGTGAGCACTTACTGTGTCTGAAGAAATTAAAAAACAGTGCATCAAACAGAAAAAGAGAGACAGAAGATGAATTTACACGTGTGCGTGGCTCCGAAACCACACTGGTGCTTACAGACCGAAACAGGGGGCTAATTTTCATTAAAATGAAATGTCAAACAGGGAAGTAATGACTGTTTAAACCAGGGTGGACGCAGCAGAGACAAAGCAAGTGAACAAATCAGAAATGTTCCGGTGGTGTCAGGACAGCTGGACAGTCACAGGTCAGTCAGTGACGGTAGAACACGCTCTCCCAGCACACACAGAAGTAACTCAAAATGGCTCCGAGACGTAAACATAAGACAAAACACTATAAACTTCCTAGAAGAAAACACAGGCCAAACATTTTCTGACATACATCACAGCAATGTTCTCCTAGGGCAGTCTACCCAGGAAATCGAAATAAAAGCAAAAATAAACAAATGGGACCTAATTAAACTTCTAAGCTTTGGCACAGCAAAGGAAGCCATAAACAAAACGAAAAGACAACCTACGGACTGGGAGGAAGTATTTGTAAAAGATGTGACTAACAAAGGCTTAATTTCTAGAACATACAAACAGTTCACACAACTCAATAATAAAAAAACAAACGACCCAATCCAAAAACAGGCAGGAGACCTAAACATTCCCCCAGTGAAGACATACAAATGGCCAACAGGCACATGAAAAAATGCTCAATGTCGCTGATTATCAGAGAAATGCAAATCCAAACTACAGTGAGGGATCACCTCACACCAGTCAGAATGGCCATTATTAAAAAAAGCCCACAAACGATAAATGAGGAGAGGGTGTGGAGAAAAGGGAGCCCTCCTACACTGTGTGTGGGGGTTCAGTGTGGTGCAGCCACTGTGGAAAACAGTATGGAGATTCCTCAAAAAACTAAAGATAGACTTAGCCTATGACCCAGGAATCCTACTCCTGGGCATATATCTGGAGGGAACTCTAATTCAAAAAGACACGTGCACCCCAATGTTCACAGCAGCACTATTTACAATAGCCAAGACATGGAAACAGCCTAAATGTCCATCAACAGAGGACTGGATAAAGAAGAGGTGGTATATTTATACAATGGAATACTATTTAGCCATAAAAACCGACAACAGAACGCCATTTGCAGCAACATGGATGCTCCTGGAGAATGTCATTCTAAGTGAAGTAAGCCAGAAAGAGAAAGAAAAATACCATATGAGATTGCTCATATGTGGAATCTAAAACAAAACATAAATTCAAAACAGAAACAGACTCATAGACATAGAATACAAACTTGTGGTTGCCAAGGGGGTGGGGGGTGGGAAGAGACAGACGGGATTTCAAAGTGTAGAGTACATAAACAAGATTATACTGTACAGCACAGGGAAATATACATAAGATCTTGTGGTAGCTCACAGAGAAAAAAATGTGACAATGTATATATATGTTCATGCATAACTGAAAAATTGTGCTCTACACTGGAATTTGACACATTGTAAAATGATTATAAATCAATAAAAAATGTTAAAAAAAAAGAATGCTCATCACGGTATTTTTGATAAAATTTAAATACTTGAATACTGTATAACACAGAGAACTCTACTCATATCTTATAGTAACCTATAATAAAAAATATGAAAATGAAAAGAAATTTTTAAAACATCCAGAGAGAAAAATTACAGGTGGCAGAAATAAACTGTATTTGAACAGAAAAACAAGTTACCAAAAAAAATCACCTTTCAGCAACTTGGAAAGCTTTGGGGAATGTACTCTGGCAAATGAAAAGTACAGATTTTTTTCAGATAAATACACTTAAGATTTCTTCCAAATGCGTATGCTGATGGCATGTCTTGATGCACAGGGAAGGTCGGCTACCTGGACTGGCACACGCGTTTCTGAACATCCCGTTACATCGGCCAAAGGCACGGTTTCCGAGCACGACTGCCGGGGCCCAAGGCGAGGGGCTCCTTTTTAGTGTGGGATAAAATGTTTTGTTTTGTGCTCCTTTTTTTAATGACTGATGAGGAAAACAGACGTGCTCTGGCTAAGGGAGCGGGTGACTGTTTTAGCCATCACGCCCAATTACAGCCAGCGAGGGGCCCCGGGCTCCCCGGCCCCCAACCTCTCTCCACGGGCCCCACCCTGAAGGCTCAGCCACGGCTCCACAAACAGCGTCTGAGGACGCTGACACCCGCCCTGGGGGGCACCCAGGCCACGCCTCACCGCCCACCACTGCCCAGAGCACCCGTCCACGGTCCACACCAGAGCCGCTGCCATTCAGAGATAAAGCCCGTTTTTACGGGTAATTCTCAGCTTCAGCCAATGATCCCGGGAGCCTCACAGCCCCCATGTGCTCACGGACTCTTCAGCCGGCGGAAAGCCTGTGGCCAGTGAGCACCTAGTTAGCTCCGGACACAACGCTGTCCCGAGAGAACCTGTCACTCAGTGACTCTCTCTGTATCTTCCCTTCATTTAATGTTCAAAACCCATCACCACGCTTCCTTTAGGTCCCCAAACTACTACCACACCAATATTTTTACTTCAAAAAACGACTATCCTGTCCCCGTATTTTATTAAACGCGTGTACCAACGCATACGGGAAAAAAGCACATCTGT